TTTTTTTCTTCGGCCTTTTTTTTAAAAAAAACTAAAGGTCCAAATCTTTTCTTGATGGATGTTTGGTAGCTGAGAAAATGCCGGAAAGAAAATATAGAAATTTTTTTCTGGGTTTTAGAACGTCACCATTCCGGAGACTTCCATATTCATGGCCTTTTTGGTTCTATTTTTTGATTTGTGAGCTGACAATCTTTTAGGTAGGCGAATATTGTATTTTTGGCGTGCCTTCGCAAGCGGAGGAACCAGATCCTCTGCGTGCGGAGGTGGCGTGCCTCCGCGTGCGGAGGAATGGTTCCTCCACGTGTGCGGAGGTGGCTTGCCTCCGCACGCGGAGGACGGCCAATTCTTCCACCCTCCTTGACCAAATTACACTAAGAAATCGCAGTGTCTTTTTCTTTGAACAATGAGTTGCTCATCTCTTTTTTCTCTCAAAACTCCACTCTTTCCCCCCGGCGCCGTCAACCACTCTATCAATCTCTGGCCCAATAGTTATTTTGTGACGAGGGCATCCCTCAACTTGGACGTGCATTCCGATCTGAAACCTTTACTTAATGAGAACCCAAAGAAGAGTTCACAAGTAATCGCCGACGAGAANACGAGAAGAAATTTGTGGTGGGCTCTTATGCGAGGGCGCCGGTGGTGTTGGCCAGTGGAAAGGGATGTAAAGTGTACGATGTTGATGGGCAAGAATATCTGGACTTGACTTCTGGTATTGCCGTCAATGCCCTCCGCCATACGGACCCCGATTGGGTGTGCGGGCAGTTACAGAGCAAGCCCAGCCTTCCTTCAGTTGATGGTCACACCGATGATGTCTTCTAGCCTTCAGAAACCGTTGGAGCTTCGACTCGGCGACCAATATGAGCTTAGCCGGCACGTCGGACATCTCCTCAAGCTGCTTCAAAGCTTGCATATTCACCGCCAATTGTCGATACAAAATCTCAAGTCGAGCCACATCGAAGCCGCTAGACACACCCGGAAGGGCAATTTATCCAAACACGCCATCAATGCATCACAGGCCACCCGTACGGCGTCGTTGGTACGAAGTCCAAGTTTTCCAGACCAATTTACAAAAACGCCCACCGTTTTCCTATCCACCTTTGACGGAGATTTTGATCTAATGGAATTCATTTCTCTTTGATTCTTCGTAGACTTTTCCCGACGTGAACTCACATGAACTATCATTGACCGACGTCGTAGAGTCAAACCCACAAGTTTTCCGGCGATCGGAATATGCTTTCTTCAGAGTAGTGGTGCTTGAAACACAAATCGAAGAACTTGAAGACGACAGAGTATCGGAATCCGAGTCGATTCCGGTCGACGGAGACCAGCATGAAGAGAAAAACGCCTTTAAGCCAACACTTTTGATTGGCTTGACTTCCATTCCTCCGCACGCGGAGGCACCACGCGGAGGACAACCAGTTATTGTTTTAAATTTAATTAACCAGCGTTATAATATTGATTTTTGTCTTAATCTTGGGGATTATTTGATAAAATTAAGACAATACTTAAAGTTTGTTTTTTCCCCACTTTAATATTGGATTGGAAAATATTTTGTGAGTGACAAATCTTGTATTGGTGGTCAGTCACAAATT